CCTTTTAATTCCGGTAGTGAGATAAAATTATAGTATGGTAGTTATAGTAATTATAAAATGGTAGATAGATAACCATATCTCAGAAACAAGTTGCAAAATTACTCGTCCGATTCGTTATTAACTCACGATCTCGAAAAAAAATCTTGTTTTTATTTTATGGTTCAGAAACCTAATAAACGATGGCTGTTGTTGTTTCTTTATTCGGCGCATGTAAACTCTGAATGTAGGATTCCCTATTTACATTACGGAAACTGAAGACAGTTCTTATAAAAATGAGGACACATCATTTAAAATGTTTTAATATATTAATTTGTTTTTTAAGACAAAATACCTACTACTGAGAAAACAAATACATCATCACTTTCACTATCACACGGTAGGACTACTTTATTACGGTTACGGTATTTACCACATTTGTTTCCCTCAACAATTAAAACTTTGCTTTGAACGTTGCAACAAACGCTTTGCACTTTTCGTAAGTATGTCATTAAACAAGACTTTTCTTTTTGGCATCATGTTCAAAATATAAGTCCACAGGTATTAACTCCACAGGCCACCAGCATAGTATTAGCATGACAGAGCACAGAATCTATAACCGCACCAGCATGCAATACATTGAACCAGTTAATGACAACATTGCCACATTCCATGCAGTAAAGAGTATAGTTGATCTATGGATTTTGTCGGTTGTTAGACGGGATAGTTGAAATTAACCCTGCTGTAGTCCCCGGATTTATTTCAACCCAAATGAAATTTCAATTTCTTGTATAGCTTAAAAAAATTGTGCGTTTGTTTTGTCACTCCGTAACTATTATTGTTTGACTGTTATCTGCCCGTGTGAAAAATGTTATTAAATTATTTTCAAAACAAAAGATATGATTTTTTTACACGTAAGTCCTTCGGGTCAACTTGGATCCGTTGAATTTGAACTGCTAATAAACATTTGATATAACTGCGAATTCGTAGTAATGAGCTAAGAAGGATCGTATTGACATCTGAGATTTCATATTCTGGTAAGTTGTACAATGGAAATATTTCATCGAGCAATATGCCAACGAAGTTCTACGAACAGCAACTCCATTCGCGGGCAAAATTACAGATCTCTATACGATGGCAAAACAATATTTTCGAATATTCGAACGTAGTGTTCAGATTTGTTTCTTCTTCTTGCGATATTGTATACTCCTCGATTCTATGTAACAATCGATGAATTAATCTAAGATTAGTCGTTTTTTGAGGCAATTGTCCGTTTCTGCAGTACATGCCAAATACGGAGGGAAATGTTGGGATCTTTGTGAGAATGAACCAAGTAACACGTTTGTACCTTTGGCAGTCTTATCCTACCTGCGGGCTAGCTCAAACGGCAGTAGAACACCTGCAATTGAGTAAGATTGATAGGCGTTGTTTAAGAATGAAAGAAGCTATTGAATGAGATAAAAGTTTAATGTTTAAAGTTTAATGACTCCAAATAAAACAAACATGACCAGAAGTGAGTTTCTATCTGAGCTCAGTTTCTACCTAAACGAAACTTATTCTAGTGACAATCTAACACACTGAAAAATATTAAGACATCGCTTACAGAAAATTGGTCTGCCATTTGAACTTTATTCTAGCCAATGCGCGGCTGAGAATCGTTGCCTGAATTACAAAAACAATATTTTAGCAAGAGTCCATTTTTTAATATTGCTTAAAGGGCCTAACTGGAGCCATAGCCAGGCTTTGCGATGATCGTATTTGTTTTTGTTCTCTAATCCAGAAACATAAAATGCAACCCTCGTATCATCCGTGTTTGTTGTTGTGAAATCATCGCTCCTATACAGCTATTGCGTCCTTTCACTGTGATCGTTTGAAAAGACGGGCAGCGGCCACGGCGTTTCTGCGGAAGGTTTTGCGGCACGTATCGGGAGGCTGACGGGCTGACACGCGACCTACACTACCACAAGTATATTCCTCAGCTTACGCATCCACAAGTATATTCCTCAGCTTTCATTTTCAAATGCGATGCAGCATGCGCTAATAATTCAGTCCATTTTGGTACGGTGACCAATTTTTCCTAATACACACTGAAATTTTACGGAATTGTAAATTTTCGGGAGCCGAGTAGCGTCATTTTGAAAATTCAATAAGTGTTCTTAACATTTTCAAATTACGCAAACAAATGTGGGTGAAACTTTTACCACACATGGCTTCTAAAGGACGGTTTAACAATAAGTAAAGTTTAAAACGCCCATAACAGAGTTCTAAAATGAAGTCAAGTGCCCCGCGTATTGACAAGAAGTCAGGTACTGGTGCGCTCGGTGGTCAAACAAGAAGGGCCTGGTGGTTGTCTGACAAGACGTCTCCTGCATTTCGGTTATCCCCCCCTTTCACTCTCAAAAGTTCTAGAAGATGCCAAGATTTTGATGAAACAGCTGTCCATTGGCTTTAAGGTTATTTATTTGCAGAGGAATTGCGACCAAGCGCTGGACGAGTTTTAAGGGACCCGAATGGAAAGTTGCAGTATCTCCCTTGTCACTCCTTTTGTTTATAAAGTGAACGTGCAGCGTAGTGTGTCGCTTCGTCGTTGGCCCAGGATTTCCCATAAGTTAATGATCGGTAGGTCAATGTGTGGGCAAGTTCGAGAGGGTGGGTCGGCGCTTTTCCGGCGCGCGAGCACTTAAATATCATAAACAGGGAGGAAGTACCCTCAAAGCGTCCCTTCCTAGCTGCAGTCGTGAACAAAGGAACGGTTCAGTGTGACTAATTGAGGCCTCTTGAAGCCGAACGTGACTAGACCCGTGCGTCTCTCGGTCCTATGATGCATTTTGTAAGAAAGAAGATGGAAGTTTAATAATTATTTCAGCATCAAAATTCAGTGACACCACAATGTGGAATGCCCAACCATACACTGGTAATCAAGTAGGACTACATGAACAACAAAATTTGGGAAATAAGTTGCGTTAGAACAATTTTCACTTTTGAAGGGACACAATATGACTTGTGACAATGTTTTTAGATCACGGGTCAGAAGCTTATGAAACGGGACATCACTCTCGTTGGAACAATGAGCGAAAACAAATCTATACCTCTAAATCTCCAGACAAACGGCATGGAAAGCTTATATTCTTATATATATCTATATATCTATATCTATATCTATATATATATATATATATATATATATATATATATATATATATAGATATATATTATCTTACTCTCGTTCTAATACCGCATTGAAACGCATGGTATTTTTCAAGGGTGGATTTAATATTTCCTTTTCATGATTACGAGATTTGAACGGCAATACATGTTTTGGGGTCCCCTGATACCGAAAAAGTTGTTTTCGAAACGTTCGTCCCTTTCAAACTTTCTTCAAAATGTGAAGATACTTTACAGGAAGCCCAACGGACAAAACGATTCTTTGAAAAGGGGATCAAATTTCAAAGTTTCAGTAGGTCTTACGCGCCATTTTCGTAGAAACGGCTATACATTTTTTAACAAAAATTGCCATTTATGAATAAGTTTCAGTCAGCTTTAATAATATTAAAATAATATTTCCGTTCTACTATTAGAAAACGGAAAAAATTAAGAAAAAAAAAGTATTTTACGATGACAGATGACAGCTGGCAAGATCGCCCAGCTAGCCGAGACCAAAGGAAATAGAAAACTAATACGGGAAAGTAAGCGCCATACTGTAGCACCATTAGTTAAAAGTAGTAGTAGCCCCACATGATTCAACTGACAACGTAATTTTCAAGTAAGAAAAATCACCGAAAACACTTTCTAATAGCAAATCGGCGACATGAAAGTATTGCATGTTTTTTATCCAAATTTATTCTCTGTCCTATTACTATGATAATGTAAAGTTTTTGTCATAGAAGCATCGATTGGTTGTGAAGAGCTGCTCGGCAATCACGTTTCCTTGGATTTTAATTAGGCAATATAAATAGGTTTACAAAGTTAGTTTTTAAATCCCACATCCCCTACTCAGTCATGACGCAACTAAAAGTTACAATTTGTTCTTTGCCTAACATTTCTGAAAGTTAAGAAACTTTACGCATTTTTAATTCAAATATAGAGGCCTTCATTTAGCAAATAATTTTGTAACTTGAAGTTTGATTGGTATCAGATAAAAAAACATTTGTAATGACTTCGTAAGAAAAATATTTAAGTATTTACCACGAAAGGTCAACCAGTGCGCCCAAACTCCCAATGTACTCTCAGACAGTTGAACTGTTGAGCTGTGCTGCAATGGAGCAATCCAGCCATTAATATTTAAGCGTAGAATGGCAACTGAGGGGATTGATAGATTGCCAGTAGAACAATCGAGAAAATGAATACTCAATATATTGAGCAGCTAGACAGTCTGAGAGTTGAGTTGAACTATCAAGATGTCGTGTTGAATAGTCCGAAAAATAGGCATTTTTTCAGACAGCAAGCAGAAAAAAATCAATAGCCGGAGAGTTGGAAATTTGGGGAGAAGACCAGTCACGGAATGGCACAGATGGACAAATGGACAGATGTAAGATGGGAGAGTTGGACAATGGATCAAATGGACAATGGGTTTGCTGGCCAACGGGTAAGCTGGCCAACGGGGCTGGGCAAATGGTAAGCTGCCAATGAGGATAGATAGCGGGCAAGCTGGACAACGGGCAAGCTGGACAACGGTCAAGCTGGACAACGGTCAAGCTGGACAACGGGCAAGTTGGACAACGGGCAAGTTGGACAACGGGCAAGTTGGACAACGGGCAAGTTGGACAATTGGCCAGCTGCAAAATGCATCAGCTTAGCAATCAGCCAGAGGCAAAAACTTCCACCCGGTAAGTCATGACCACCAGTCGGCCAGTCGAGCAGTCAGAAAAAGTTGTTGGAGAGTTCAATGCACTGCTAGGAAGTTTGTTAGTCGCATGATCACCACACGCTCTACTTGCTATCAAACAACAGATGTTAGTTAGTGGCTTCCTGTAGGAAGGGGTCGTGCAAAGCGCCAGCCGCGCTGGGCGAGGTACGCACATACGGTTCCGCAGCCTGCGCTGAGCGCGGCGCAGACGTCGCGCCGTCCACGCGCCGGGCTCGCCCATGACGCGCACGGCCGCCTCGCCCACCACGCGCACCGTAATGCCCTGCACGGTGAGGCACGAGTCCAGGTCCACGCGCACGTTCCCGGCCACGTTCTGCCCGGAGAAGTAGATCTGCCCCGGCGGCTCCAGCTGCACGTCGAAGCGCCGCACGGCCTCGGGCAGGCGCTCGCCCCACGGCGGTGGCGCCGGCACCTGCGCACAGAGACAAGACACGGTCACACAGCTGCGATGGAAGGCAGGTCAAGTCAATGAAGCAGAGATGCAGACAAGACAATTAAAGGAGCAGGCGCTCGCGCGCAGAGAGAGGGCACGGTCCATTGTAGGGGCAGCAATAAGCATTTAAACGTTGGCTTGAAAAAAATTCTATGCAAAAATGTGCTTTTCGGAAACATGTAAACAATACAGAAACATGTAACAGTTTATTATTTGCGATAGAAATGAATAATTTGTTCACACAGAAAACTCAACGCAGAAATTTAAAAAAATTACTCAATTAAATTGATTTTTTCAGCATTTTTACAATAGTTTCAAAATTTCCCAAAAATAGCTCTAAATTATAGAGATATAAAATAGAGATATATAAATAATAGAGAACAAAAAGACATGAAGAAATGGAGTAGGTCAGATTTTCCTTGCACTCATGATTTTCAAAAAGTTGCAAAACTTGAACATATGTGCGACATCTTCTTACAACTTCAAATATGGAGAAGATGTTTTCCTTCACGAAAAGTGTTCATCAGAAGCAGGTCTTGATAGAAGGTAATATTACATTTTTTAGAATATATGAGTAATTCTTTTTGCGTAATTTTGAGTGAAACGTAAGCAATTTTAAATTTTAAATTTCTCAAAAAACGGTTCCAACATTTTTCTTTCAATGTTGTCCACGTATGAAGCAAAAAACAATAAAGAAAGTTTGCTGGTCTCATTTTCGGCGCACTCTCTGTATTTTCAAAACTTTTACTGCATTCGAATTTCCTGTTCATCGTTCGATGGTCTGTCGGTTTGCAAATGGCAGGACTGTGGTATTTAATTATTCTAAATTTTCTCGTTGTTGCCGGTCGTGATGATTATATGATGTGGATAATTTTCTTATGAAAGGCAATATATTTAACGAAGATAATTTTTACTCAGATCTAATTAATTATTCCGCTATAAGAAGTTTTGATCGCTAATTATGATATTAAAAATTTGGAAACTCATTTTTCATGTAATCAAGACCAGCTGAAATGAAATTATTCCTGATTTTCTGTGTAAATACTGCAACAGTGACATTTATTCTTCTTTCTTTTGTAAAACTAAGAATTGACTACTGTTCCTATCGAAATATGCAGATATGCACCACAGACGCTTCATTTGAATTTGATTTGACAAGTAGTATCCGAGTTGCTAGTAGGACAGAAATGATAATGTTTCAATATTACCATAAATGTGAGAAAGCATGTGCTGTTGTAGCACCTCTAGTTTTCGTAACATGTTTTAACAACCAAAACGTAACAGAATTTATATAGAAAATATGAACATTTCTGAGAAGGTGATGCGACCAAGTTATTTAATTCTAGACCAGGTAAAATGGAATGACCCCCCAACAAAGGTAAAAAGGAAACAATCTTACGTTCGGTGTACATCCTTACCCCGCTATGCGAATTACAGGACGCTGTTCCTTTTTCTTCCTTCCTCCGATTCGTTCCGTTATGTCGATGAAGCAGTTCAATATTGCGAAATATTATTTGAGGCTCACTACTGAAAGTATTAGCATTTTTTGCGTGACTTGGAATTGGAATGTGTTAGAATAACCATAATATTTAAAATTCAATATAGAATTTTAAATGGACCACTTGTACCCAATTCCGTGACATTGCGTATTGCCTATAATTTTCAATGTAACAATATTTCGTAAGCGTTGCCAATAATACACTTATGTATGAGAATTTGTCACCAAATTTATGTTTCAATAAAGATACGAAAGATCGTCCCTACAATGATTTTATTTTTTTGTGTGAAAGTCACTAAATATTGTCATAATACAATTTCCAAAGAAATGTGCCTCTGTGGTTCTTCTTAAAAGAGGACTTTTAGTAATCATTCTATTCATTTAATGCGTTAGTTGTTTGTAAACCACCCCACTTAACGACATACGGTAGCAGCTGTTAAACAAGTACAATATACTTGCACATTCCCACGTTCTCAAACATATCTATCAGTCGAACGGAAATGATAGGCCAAGGTGAGATAAAGAAAATCAAGTTTGGTGCTAGTACAATTAATACACTAAAACCAAGAAATCTAACCAACGAAGAAAGAAAGAAAATATTTTCTAACTTCTCTAATCTACGCCGTCCGTCTGGCACGCCCCCCCCCCCCCCCGTTATCCTACACTCATTTTTTGGCTTTGCACCATTGCTCTTCGAAATTTTAAGATGTATCCCATTCCATGCGATTTTTTAACCATATGGATTCCTGTAACGTGTATGTTTCAGCATACATACATTCAATTCTAAATGATGCCAGGCCCCATTTTTTTTCGTATTTGTTAAGTAATAACACTAAGAGGAGGAAAAGTTTGGGTAAGCCGTGAATTCCCTCTTTTTTTCGCGCGGGCTTGCATAGCACGGAGTTCGCGGTCATGCACTGCGGTGTGCCCTCTGACATTTCTCTTTAGCGAGCCGAGCCAGTCGGCGCCAGAGCACTCAGCGTCCTTCTGCTGGGCATCGCTGCGCTTTCTTTTCCTCGTAGTCGCACTCTCACATTAATTACCCCTACGAATCACGCACCTCGGTTCGTAGCCCTTAGGACGTCACGTCCTGGTTCGTTGAGTTTGCAGCCCCTACTGAAATTCGCAAAATTAATCTTGTATCTTTATGTAATCTTAATACAAACATCTTAATAAGAGAATCAATACTAAGGTAGCGAATCAGATTTTTTATTTTAAGAATATATTGTATGAATAATTAACAAAAGGAACAGTATTGTGAATGACAACAAATTAATAAATATAAACTTTTATATCCAATTTCAATTAATACTTTAATTTTTATTTAAATATATAATATTAATCTAATATTTTAATTAGACCGACCACTACCCCGTTTCCACATGAAACATTTCTTGTAAAGATGATTTCTATTTTAAGTGTTTCGGCTGAGAAAATAGTGATCATTTGCGGAACCCCTGTCAACGTACCAAGGAGCCCTAGGTACAAGACCCCTGTTTTAATAGATAAAATAAACGCGGTGTTTAGTTACGTCATAAGCAAAATTTATACAAAAATTATAAGTTGCCTTTTCTGTAATCACTTGTATTTTTTGTTTCAATTTTTTTAACGACAAGGACACAAACAGCTATACAAAGTTTTTGTGAACGGTTATTTACACTGTCTTCTTACTGTTCGCCTTTGTCATGAGCGACACACATATACTTAAACAATTCTCAATTCAAGATTGCATTAATTTACATCTGTCAGGCAATAAATGAGTCGTCCGTTAAAGAAACAATGTATGCAATTTGAAGCATTTTGCTTAGTACAACGAATTGTCTATTATTGGACGAGATTAAATAAATGTATTTCATCTTCAGTTATTACAAAGCATCTAAAAATGCTAAAGAACTCCACGAGACTTCTGAATGAGTTAATTCGGTACACTGAGTCGGAAATATGTTCGCAGGATGTGTAAAATAATGCAAGTTTTTTTTTCAGATAAGTGGAAAAAAGCGTCACTAGTTTCAGTAAAATAGAGAAAGCCTTAAAAACCAATACTTTCACACCTGTTGCCTTTGTGACTGATTGCATTTTATACAATGTATACTGCATACACGTTTTGGCCTTCGAGTAGATCGCAGAAACGAGTACAGGTACTAGAGACTTCTTAAACTAGTGTGGAGATAATAGTGAAGGACTATACTGCGGACGCGGACCTTTAACAAAGCTGTCAATAGCGGGTATGAGACACGTACGATCAATACGGGATTCCTGATTACAGTATCTGCCCAATAAAAACTACCCTAAACGTTCTATTTGGAGAAGCAAGATTAAATTAATTGAAGAGGTAAAGTTCAGAAGGAATGTTAATTTCGTCCAATACGCAGACATGCGTAAATTCTTCAGCATTCACAAAAGCAATTTATCAGAAACCTTTGATAAAAAATGATGAACGGTCAGAAATAATGATTTTCATTGACGTCGAGAGATTACATTTTCGCAAATCCAGAGATACGAAAAAATCCAGCAGATGCTTAATAAGTGTTATTTTTTCATGGCATATTTACTACATCATTTCTCTTTATAGTTCAGAGAACACAGTTAGCAAGTGTAGAGTTTGAACTCTGGTCGTTTTGTGAAACTTGAATTTAAAGCTTCACTCTCATTTGATTCTTAGTTTTTCGATAGAGATATAAGCATACGTTGTGACAAATGCATTCCTATGAACTTATAAAATGTAAAATTTCCGCCCCATTCATGGACATATCAACAAGAAAAACCTTACGTCTCTATTTTCGATTCCAAATATAATTACCGCTTCTTTGGCTACATTTTTATCGTTATTATTTACGTTTGTAGTTAGTCTTTATTTTGTAAAATGTTCATTAAAACATGTTATCTATATTTACGCAGATAATTACTAGCTAAATATCTAAATATCAATGAGGTTTTAAAATGCTAATCACCTCAACGTAAAAGAGAGAATTATGTTAACTCGTTCGTTGTTGTCAATTTCATCAAAACAGTCGCCAGTTTTTTGTAAATAACTAAATCACTGTGCCTTAATATTTGTGGGGTAAAAAATGCACACACTCCTGTCGTGTAAAACATTATATAATGAGGTAAACACATCGATAATTTCCTATTACATTGCTTGGTATTTTTGAATGATGGTTGAAAATGACCCATGTCCGTAAATTACTATTATTAATTTCGTTTATTTTATAAAAGTATAGACTGTATGAATTTATCGTTTGCTCGCGTTATCTGGCAAAGATATTATCGTCGTAGATACTCAACATTGTGTACGAAAAGAAAACTTCTTGAAAACTCAGTTCGTCGAACTAATTCCATCATATCCAACCCATTTCTTTCCTTGCTCAGTGACGCCCTCCCAAGTTGTTTTTGCTCAACTCGACCTCTGGGGCGTCGC